GGGCCTCATTGCACATGAAATCAGTAATATTGGTGGCATAAGGCTATCCCTGGCTCTATCAGTATGCTAAAGAATTTATGCTACTTCCAATGACAGGAGTAGACACCATTTCTCTGCTGAGCTATCCATAAAAATGGGATGGTTGGAGGGTTAGTCCCCTTGACCGGTGACTTCCAATCCGTGGACTCAGCAGCAGGGTGGAGTTAAGGGAGGAAGACTCTGGCCCCAAAGAGATAAGCTACCTGGAATTTGGGGAATCCAACAAGCCAGTCTTCATAGAGGGCAACAAAGTTTAGTACTGCATTTGTTCATGACCAATATGTGTTGCTGTGCTGTTTTCACTGATACCTATGTGTCTAGGTATAATAGCATACATGGCAATAGGAAATGTTTATTTTCCATTGTAATGCTGTTGATTATTTTTGCAATTCCAATTTCTCAGGATGCATTTAATGTATGTGGTTAAGATAACCTTGTACGGTGCTTAAAGATTTCACTTAAAGAGACTTGGTCACCAGACACTACATTTCAATAACAATCTTCCCATAGGATCATATGTCCATTTAATGTATTTATTCATTCACTCACTCATTTACTAAGCTAAGTGAATTTTCTCTTTGAAAATGTAATTTTCACTTAGGTCAGTAAATGAGGTGAAGTTGTGCCAAGCAATAATCCTGCTTTAAAAATAATATATATTGCATATTGGATATTTCTTGCAAAAGATCATTTTCACTTTGTTTTACTTTTATTCACTAAAAAATTTAAAAACTCACTTTAAAAGTTAACATGCTCTACTCCTTTAGTAAATTATTCCCACCGTCTAATATTGAGAATAGAATACATATAGATTTAGTAAAACAGGCTCAATGTGTAGACAGTTAATAGGTAAAAACACATTTTGGCATAATGAAATGATTTTAGGGCTTGCCTTGTTTATGGAAAAAAATAAATCAGTGGTTGCATGACAGCTAAGAATCTGTTACACATCACTCTTAACAAGTGTGCAAATCTGATACTTACTTTGATATTTGATTAAATCTGTTCCTGTGACATTGTGTGGTTCTAACAAGAAATGCAAGCAAGCTTAGTTGGCAGTAAACACATCTTCTCTAGCCAGAAGGTGGCTATGCAAGTAAAAAAGGCACTTTCCTGAAAGAAATTTAGAGATTGTTATTGCTGACCTACTAAACAATGCTAACTGCTTGGCTATTATCGTGACCACTGCCTCGTCACAAACCTGATAGAAGCATGAATATCAGGAATGTCAGAGTAAAGTCATAGCAAGCCAATAATAAAGTCCTTATTTGCATATGTGTTCTGGGTCAGTATCTCCAACTATTGATGCTTGAGAGTCAGCAAGAAAGACAAGCAGCTAGCATTTACAGAATGGGAGGTCAGCAACTGCTGCCTCTCTTACTCCCAGTAAAGTTCTCCTTTCAAGAAAAACAAGAAACAAGTTCTTGAGTTATGATATTTCTAGGGCAGAAGTAAGCAAACTCCAGCCATCCAGCTGTGGTTGCTGTGGTGCAACTACTAATCCCATTAGGCATTGCAAGACTGACAGCCATAGGCATGACTTCCAGAGACAGATAGAAGATGGGATGTTTAGTTGCACCACAGCTGGAGGTCCAGAGTTTGCCTATCCCTGTTCTAGGACAATGAATGGAGTAGATTTATCTTCATTGCTCCAGAACAAATCATTTCTTAAACTTACCTTTTCAAATAAATGTACACGGGTCCAGGTAAATTTATATACTGCTTTTAAGGTTATATTGCACTATTATAACGATTATCTATAAAACTGAAATCTTGCCATAGGCAGGTCGTCCCTACGTTTATTTAATTTTGTAGATAATAGCATGACCACATTATTGCTACCTAATTTGTGTTGTTCATGGCAATAATATAAAAGGAAAATGGTGATAAGGTACAGATAGATATTTAAAGCTGGCGCCTTTGATAATTAAGCTAGGCCCGCAGATTTGCACACCTAATAAGAGAAGAAAAATAAAATACTGCAAACAACTATGGCCAATTTGTATCACAGGAGAAAACAAGTCCTTTCTACATCAAAAATGTTCTATCCCATTTGTGATTGTGAATAACATTAGGTTTGCCATTTCTATTTTATGGGGTAGAGTAATACACAGCTAAAATTAAAACTCCAGCTTGCATTATTTTCCAGTTTTGAATAAAGTGAGAAATGCTTACTAGGCCTGTCAGGTTTTTATTGCTAGCTGTGTCCCGTTGGGGAGATTGGAAGTTGACCCTCATGTTTTGTCCCAGAGAAACAAATGGACATAAGGGAAATACCACCTTTGACATAACAAGTCTCCTGATTGGGAGAGTTCCTCCAACTACTCTTGTAAAATTTTAGATTATCCTTCATACTTTGTCCCAGTGATGATGGTCACTGATAAGGAAAGTGAAATGGGGACAAAGACGCCAATAAAAATTGACACTGGTTGTAACCCTTCCCCACTGTACACAATATTAGAAAAAAAACATTTTGACTGGAGTTCCAGGTTACCAATCTTGCCATAAAAAAAAACCCCTTTGTGTACTCATGGGAAATCCATATGCACAGTGGTTGAAAAGCACTGATATAGAGAATATACTGCTAATACAGTGCAGACAATACATTTACAATTATACTCTGCTAGTACTGTACATGTACTACATATAGAGTACACTACAGCAACAGAGTTTTTCAATTATCCCCTATTCCCCTGCTAACATGACTAGGTTAAATCATGATCCATAGTACAACTACATGTTATGTATGTAGTATACTATAGATCCTTGGTTCTCAACTGGTGGGTAGTGACCCAAAAGTGGGTCGCGACCCCGTGTTCAGTGGGTCGCTGCATGCCTTCCACTTTTCTAGGTGAGAGGCTCCTCAGCCTCCCCCTAGCGCAGCGCTGTCCATTCTCACACCAAGCAGCCATTTAAAATATGCTGCCCGGCACCGAGTGCCGACTTGGGATGGACTGAGAGTACTGCCGCGAGGGAGCTCCATCCATACGTGCATTGCTTACAGCTCCCTCGCATGTCCGGTAGAGGTGCTTGGACTTGAGTGACATCACATCCTGGCTCCCGACACCTCTACCGGCACACATGGGAGCTGTACAAGCAATGCACATATGGAGGGAGCTTAGGGTTGCCACCTTTTGCTCAAGTGATACCCGAAAACTCTAGCGACGCATGGACATTTTTTTCTTGGAAGAATGAGTCGCGGCTTATTCATATGTAAATAGTGCCACCCATTCATATGTGAATATCAAAGCTGAGACCATTTTCAGTGGGGGGCCAGTAGCCCCAACATGAATTTTGGTTGCCCCTGCCTGCCTGCCTGCCATCTTGTGTCCGGGTTTCTGCTGCCATGAAACCTGGACACAGTATTCAAAACCCGGACAGTGCGGGTGAATCCTGGACAGGTGGCAACCCTAAGGGAGCTCCGTCACAGTACAGCAGCCCACACTGTCGAGCATTCCATTGCAGTGTGACTTGGGTCACGACTTAATGACCGAGGACAAATGTGGGTCCTGAGGTTACACAGGTTGAGAACCACTGCTATAGATCATGATTTAACCTAATACTCTATATGAAGAAGTAAATGTACACTTGCAATCAGATTATAAATACAATACTGGCAAAGTGGCAAAAACTACACCACTTGCCATCTCGGCAGCACAGGCCCTTACTTACTGGTGCCTGTTCAATGGAACCTGCCTTATGGAGGTAGACCTCACTCTGTTCTCTCCTCCATCCCCCATCCTGTATAATATCTCCTTCTCGGAGGTCTCATCAGATCCCTCACTCCCCAGACACTGAAATGTCTCCCCCCCTCATTATATCATTCTGATTCCTCTAATATATCTATTCAGCTCCTCCATTATCTCCCTCTCATACACAGCCAACCTCTCCCACCATCCCCTAGGTTACCTCCCATACTCTAGAGGCCAATCTGAACTTAACTAAGGCTCTGGCAGGTGACGGCCATTTTGGGTAGGACAGAATGTACTCCAAGTAAATGAAGGAGATTTCCCAGACACTAGAGAATAAACTTTCCTGTACTGGGGCTCTTAATGGCGGTGGCCATTTTGGGTAGGACAGACTGCACTGTAAGTAAATGGAAGTGATTTGTTGGACACTAGAGTACAAACTGTCCTGGACGGAGTCTCCAGCCGGCAGCGGCCATTTTGGCTTGGACAAAGACACCCTCAACACGGCTGTATAGAGAACTAATGATTTCTTCACTTGAGCTGTCATTCCCCCGGCCTATGATCATGCGGGCTCTGTGCCTGATCGGCGATCGCCAAATTATTTTTTCTCCTCATGCGAGGACGACGTCGGCGACGCTGAGAGGCTGAGCAGAGGAGCATGGCGTCACTGCTGTGGGCGGAGCTACAGGAGGAGTCCTCTGGGCAGTCGCCAGCCAACTACATTAGACCCCACCTGGAGCTCCGCCCACAGCAGTGACGCGACGCTCCTCCAGCCTGCCCAGAGGACCCCAACCCCAGCCACCAAGGAAGGTAAAAAAAAACAGCGCAAGCTTCGGCGCTATGCATCGGGGCATTTTCACAAGTACAAGTACTTGTCAAAATGCCTTGTATCGGGCCCGATTCCGATGCTAGCATCAGTATCGGGACATCCCTAATTTCTACCATATATAAGTTATGAACTGTATATGTATTCATAATAAAATTGGTAAAAAAAAAGTGAAAACATAATAATACTAAAAGGAATATTTCAAATATTTTTTGTACATTGTGCATACAATTAAAATTCGTGTAAATTGATAGTGATTACTAATTGGATTTTTAAAATTGTTTTTTCATTTGTTGTATAGTAATGAGAGTTGATTCTATCAACCTCACAAATGGAAATGCTTTTACTTAATGTTTGAAATGGCTGCTAAATTGTATAAGGTATATCGAAAAATACAATTTTTGTTTTTTAGATGCCTAGGTAAAAACAATCCAACTCAGTTTTACAACAATTCTGAAATGCCCATTCTTTTCAATGGCAAAGCTGTAAGGTGCTTTTAGTACGCAAATATCACATTATAAGTGACTTGATGTCCATTATCCCAGGCATATAACAGCCGATCTTTTGGATTGTAATCTATTTGGGTGGTATAAGCATATTCATTTTCAAAGAGGAGTCTTGGAGAAATCTGGGTGTTTGTGTGTGTGTCGAAAGCATACGATATATTGGCAGTTTTCTTGTTGTAGTTGTCCACTGCATACAACACCCCACAGATAACAAAACAGTTGCCATAGAAGTCTTTTCTTAGCCCAGTCCTCCATGTTGTTTCTTTTCGAGTGGTGAGGTCCACAGCATTTAATTTGCTGAGAACAATAACTTCCTGTTGGAAACCTTCATCATCAATGGCTGGGTAGATAACCCACAATCCATTCTCATCGATAGCAAAATCTACGTCAGAGTGACCTCGCCACCTCCAGGGGGTAGCCTCCTCATAAACTACATCATGAAGCATGGCCCAGGCTGCCACATAACGTTGCTTTAAATCATACTTTATGATATTACGAGTAAAAGCCCTGTTATAATAGAAAGATCCATTATACACAACATGACCAGTGCCAATCCAGCTGTAAGGAAGCTTGTAGGAGTTGCTCCAACGACCTGAAAAAAAATGTTACAGATAGGCTAAATATAGTTTTACAAATACAATAATAATTAAATAAAATAGCAAAATCTTGGTAATCCTTTAACTGTTTGCATTTGTATTCACGTTTGGGCTTCAGAATTTATTTGCTTTATTTTATTTTGTTTGCTGGTATGTGTGAAAATGTAAAAAGGAAAAACTTTCCTTTTCTGTGTGAAATAAAGCAATTTGCCTAAGTACAAAAACATAGCTTGGCATAGCATTGGTTGACTTAACAGAGGATGGTTTTGGTCAGTGCCAGGACAAGGTCCTCTGGCACCCAAGACAAGGATGCCAGCCACCCTCCTGGCTCTTTAATTTGGCACTACAAAAACTAACGGCAAAATTAAAACGGTGAAAAAAAGTTAATAATAAGGGTTAACTAAAATGTTAGGGTTAATAAAAAATAGATGTAACTACAAATTGTATTCTGTTAGCTGTCCCTAGACACTAGAATCATGATTGTGGTACAAAGCAGTTGTTTTTTTATTTGGTGCAACAAATATGAGCAAAATGTAAAAAGTTTACATACATACAAATTATAAAAAAAGGGAAGAAGGCAGAAAAAAAAATGAATTAGGTCATACTAAGGGTTAACAAGGGTGTAAAATATTGTTTATTTATTTACAGATAACAGAAATTCATGATTGAGAAGTACAATAGTAGCTTTCATTCATAAACAAATGCAGAGTAGGTCAAAACAAATGTCCAATAAAGAGTCCTAGTGATGGTTTCCAATCTATCCTAGTGGTGAATATTATATTACAATCTCCTTGCTCTGCATCTTGATCTTGTAATATAAAACTTCTAAAATGTGCACTCACCAGCTGTTTGTGCTCACCTTTTTACGGGCGGACCAAGGATTGCTTAATTACTCCTCTAATACTGCACAATGGAGAGCACTTTTTTTATCTCCCTATCTATTTATCTCGTTGACCAATTTTTATAAGAGGAAAGCAGGAAGCCTTACAAAGGATATATCGCTACATGGGATCATAAAGGATCTGATAGAGGCAATCTGGGAAAATTGGTAATCAGCAACCTGGACGGATACACCACGGATGAAAGAGAGGAGTAATTAAGCGATCCTTGGTCAGCCCGTAAAAAGGTAACCACAAACAGCAGGTCAGTGCACATTTCAGACGTATATATATATATATATATATATATACACACACACACACACAGGTATTCCTCACTTAACGTCCGAGTACCGTTCCTACGACCAAGTCGTTAAACAAATTGGTCGTTAAGCGAGGAACTGTATACAGTACTGTACTGCATTAGTACAGTGCTGTATAGTGTTGCAGATGTACAGTACTGAACAGTAAACTGTAAATCGGGCAATAAAATACTTACCGAGACCCGCAGTGGAGAACGGAGTACAGCACTTCCGCCGGCGAGACGCCACACTGCCGCTGCCACGTTCCCGCACGTAAGGTCGGAGAGCTGGTCGTAAGTGCGAGTGGTCACAAAACAGGTAAGTCGTAAAGCGAGGAATGTCTGTGTGTATATATAGATATATATCTATGGATATACATCTATAGATATATATCGATGTATACTGTATATGCATTGATACTATTTAACTGAATAGGAATCCTTTGTTTTCACATGTGTATAACTATGTTGCATTAGTGATTTTGGATTTAGGAGGAGGGATGCACACACATGCTAACATTTAATGGATGAATGAAAAATAAACATAAAGGAGTTTTTTTTTAATATAATTTATTTTAGCGCAGTGCCACGTGATTCAGGATATTGGAAATAGAGTTTTCACTATTTTTTTCTGCATAGCAGCTTATACATTCACATAGCGCAGTGGTTTTATTATTAAATGCAGAAACTATCAACTGATAGCTCAGTCCTGAAGATTACACAGGGAGAACACAGTTCTACAGTTTCTACCTATGTTAACTTCAGAACTCTGTGACAGCTAGGTGATGAACTTTGTGTATCAGAAACACATAGAGCTCCTAACACGGAACAATCAGCTGTCCAATAACAGCAGAGCAAATGCCCCTGGTTACACATGGAAACACATAATTTCCGTGTAAAAATCTGCAGCTATCAGTTTAACAGCTCATTCCTGCAGAATGCAGGTCACAGGTGGGCGATGCAGGAAAAAGCAAATACTGTGTGTTTTTAGTTTGATACAATGTGGTTTTGTGGGGTTTTTTAATTACATTTTTAAGAAGTCTGCATTTTTTCTGCTGTCTGCTAGTGTTTCTACTGCTGGTCATGTAGTTTGGGGTGCTCATGAATCACCTCCACATCCAGCCAGCCATGCCTTGCCTGCCATTTTTGCTTGTACACAGTATTCACAGGTTTACATACACAAATATACTAGCCGGGAACTAGTATGGCAAGACTGGTCATCAAACAAGCCAAAGTTGTAAATACTTTTTTTCCTTAGAGGACACGCTGAAAGTGTTGCGTTGACATGTGTTTTTGCATGTTGCGTAAAACTGCGGCATGCTGTACTTTATTCAACACATTTTAACATGGTGCAATAGTATGGAATTTGAAAACATTGCTTTTCGAAAACTACAGTATGCGTTGGGAATGCATACAATGTGAATGGGCCCTTAAGGTCTGTACCCAGCAATGGACAAATTGTGCTTTGAGTCAGGATCAGGCATAAGGGCCAGTGTACAGAGATATTTGTACTTTTTCTCTGATGTGGGTTTACAAATCCTTGTTTGCAATTCCATGGAATAAAATCTACACATATTTGAGCATATTTGAACTGAGGACCTCTTTATCTGCAATCAAATGAAAAACTGAATTCCATCAGAGTATTGTTAGGCAAGAGTATAATTAACAATAAAGACAAACAATAGGAGGAGGGCATTTAAAATACAACTCTGCAGGAACACTTAATATTTTAGTTATGTTTTTGTATGGGATTATCAGTTCACACCTGTGCAACTATCTGGATGTCTGGAGAACATTTTCTGCTAACAGTACTGGATGACAGTTCTGGAAAACACTGTACTAGTCTGTCCCTTGTAAACTTTACACCACATAGAGCAAAGTTCTTCTACTTTGTCATTTTGTTAAGTCCTGGTAAGATGGTTTTGAAGTGTAACTGAGGAGACCTATAAACATTTAAATATTTTGCTACATTACACTAACCATGTAGCTTTCGCTTTTGTATTTTTTGTATGTCATCCTTTCTGCTCAGACAGCTTCTGTGAAGTTTCAAATATCGACAGAAGTAGAAAGGAAATGTACATGTCTGCAAACCGTCAACAGAGCTTTGGCACAGCTTTTCTTTCTTTCTAAGTCATTGTATCTAAGTTTTAAAGGTTCTTTAATGACAGTATCGGTAACAATGGACTGGCACTAAGCAAACACGTTCCATTTTTTCAGAAGGGAAAACTATTTTCAGCCAGGAACGAAAGACCTGTGATTTACATGTTTCTGTGTATCTGTAGAAGTACTGAGTATTTTATTTAAGCAAAGCAAAAATGGAAACCTTTCCAATCAACTAACTTTTTAAAATAAGGTGCACACAAACAGGACATTTTACTGAACAATACATTACAAAAATTCCTAGCACTTTTACCAGCTAGCCAGCAAAAAAACATATTCTACAACTGAAAAGTCATGTGATTCCAGGTGAGCTAGCAAGAACTAGTGTTGGTGTGAACCTCCACTGACTGTGTTGTGAAAACATTCTGAACAGCAGATGATCAATACCCAGACTAGTCACAGTACAGAAATAAATGTGATGAGAGCCCTCCAACATGTGTCTGCAAATGGTTTATATAAAAACTCATATATAACAAATATTTCATACTTTCCTGGTGTGAAAGGTGGCTCAGAAAAAAAAGCCTGTTTAAATGTGACAGGTGGCACTGGGAAGCCAATTTTTGGAAAAAATGGATGGCTGTCCAGCTGGAACAAGCTGACTACTGTTCCAGAGAGAGGAAGGAGATAGAGAAATAAGGTGGGAACACAGTGGGGTCTTGAACAGAGCAGAGCAGCTGAGGCAGAAAGAGAGTGCCAGACAGGATGTGTATTCAGGCTTGCCTGTGGCTAAACAGCAAAGAGATCTGAGAACTGTGTAAAAGTGGTCAGACTATTAAGAGAACTGGCTGAGTGGTTGTAAATCCTACATTTGCAGTTTTGTTTTGCATATACCACTTTGAGGAAAGAAATCCTGTTTAAAAGTGTGTGCAGGACACCCTTTAACTACCAAGGGTTAAATGCTGGTAAAAGTTATATTAAAGGCATACCCCCTCCCCCCCCCCAATTGCTGCTGCATCCCCCCCCCCCCCCCCCCAATGCTGCTGTCAGGACTTACCTTATGTGATGCCTCTTCATCCAAACAGCTTCTTCCTTCCATTCGTTTTCCACAGTCCCTACAGTGCTGATGCTGGTCTCTGATCCAGCGTTCATATCCCACGGAGTCTGCCCAGCATGCGCGCTCCCAGCTGCATGTATATATAGTATATACAGGGATGTTCCTATAAGGAGGCAGCCTGAGGTTATGCCTTAGGCGGCATTGTGTGTGTGTGTGTGGGGGGGGGCAGTCAGAGCGTCATGGCCGCTCTGCTGAACAATGTTTGGGGTGGGATAAAGTTTCCATTCCTCGATACATATCTTACCAGGTAGCCAGACCTCATTATTAGTGTCAGCTTTCTACAGGCACATTGCTCTTCCAAGTTACAGCCAATTTTCATGCTCTGGCATTCAAAAATATTTGTTGCTATTGCCTCTCTGACATAATCCATTCTAATGTTTATTTCAAGATAAAACCTGCCTCGCATCTGCCTCTCACATTTCAGCCTAACCAAATTGCATACATACTGTCCAGTGACTATAAGATATTTGAGGCTATTGTCTATCAAATAATACACTTTTATTTCAGGATAAAATCTGTCTCATCTCTCCCTCTTACATTGTGGCCTGACTGAGCTGCTTACATACTTTCCAGCCACTGCACAAATTGTGTGACTATTGTCTG